CGAAAGGGAAATAGTTTTTCCTTTTATTTGTAGTTTTTTTGTTGTTGTTGTTGTTTTGGTTTTTGCTTGTTTCTCAGCTTATTTGCCAACTGTCTGGATCTGGAGCTGTCGGAGTTTTCATTTTGTTTGCCAACCAAACAATGAGGGTTCTGTAGTTGTAGCGTCTGTCGCTTATGCATCATATTTTTGGCTGGTATTCTGTCCAAATGGACACACAGTTGTCAGCTACTGCACGCATTGTTTTAAGGCCTGCTTTTTTATTTGTCTGGCTGCCAACTGCTGCATATTGGCCACATATCATATATGGGGTAATCTAAGACACTTCAAATGGTTTGTTACAAGCAGACGAGCCTAGTTTAAGCACAAGAGCTTCTTTTCGAGACCCTTATAGAGTTTTAGCAGTCAAGCAGACTTAAGGCCTGCTTTTTTATTTGTCTGGCTGCCAATTGGCCAATTAGCATATATGTTGTATTATAAAACACTTCAAATGGTTCGTTACAAGCAGAGAATCTGCAGATAATCCACAAGAGCTGGTTTTCGAGACCTTTAAAGAGTATCTAGCAGTCGAGCAGACTCGTCCTAAGTATCCCTTTTTAATTTTGTGCCCCCTTTTTGTGTCGCGACATGTTGGCAATGTGACTTGGAAAAAATGAACGAGAGCTGAAAATAATTGAAATTATTTTAGCGTGATATATTATATATAATGGAACCCAAATATGGCGCTGCACTTTGTGCAGCACTGTGGAAGCAGTGTTGTAAAGTGTGCGCACACATAGGCAGGGTTGCCAAGTCGCCTGCTATGTGCGTGTGTGTGTGTGTGAGTGTGTGAGTGCCACCTGTTATCCAGAAAAATGGTATGAAATAAGGGATAAGAGCTGAGCGAGTCGCATAAGTAAAAACACGCAAATTGTTAACCACACACACGAAACATTTTTCATGCTTGGTTTATTTATTTGTTTTGGTTTTTATTTTCCTTTTGCATTTGGCTCACACTTCTTTTTATGTTTTGCTGATGGTGTGCGTTGATATTTGGTGATGAATTTACGACAGGCATGCATTCAAATGTGCGACTGTACACATGGAGGTATTACCTTTTTTTCTAATCTAAATTTATGTGCAGCTGACCAAAAGTCACACCACATTTTATTTTATTTCTTTTTTTTAATATTTCTACTTTACGTTGGGTATTATAAGTTTGTTATAAAGTTTGCAATAAAGGATATTTAATAAAAAGATCAAACATTTGTAATAGTTAGTTAATGTAGCATATGGAAAGATCTGTCCAAACTTAAAAAAAAACCCAAATTTCACTTCTCACAAGGAAATATTCGAACACTGTGCAACACTTGAGGTACAATTCGATTTTAACTGCATCTACCTATAAATTACTAGAACGCATCCCAAATGTCAACAAGTGTATTAAATATTCGGCATAGTTCTTGTATACTTTTTTTCTGGCCACTCTCACACCTCTGGGGACTTATCTGGGATGCCTTTTTGTGCCCTCTCAGAATGTTTTTATTTTATTTCATTTTTTTTTTGTGGCACTTGTAGCACGCAAAGTTGTGTTAAGCACACGCTGGAGAATTGCGGACAATGAACGAAATGAGTTTTGCAAATTAATTAGTGAAATACACTTGGAAAGTTTTATCATTTTTGACCATGTGCCTAATTAGCTAAGGATCCAGTCGATTGCCGGCGCAATTGCCCAAAAAACCCCAAGTCAAGTGAAATTTAAGATCCTCGTGCGAAAGTTGAGCATCAAATCCAACTGGGAGAAATTACATTAAAATCCGAAATAATGAAATTGCCAGCGCAATAAAATGATTTTATGATTATGGCACCGTTGTGTGAGCGTGTGGCCAGGACCTACTACACACACGGACGCCCCCTCCACCCCCCCCTTTTCCACGCTAGCGGTCGCTCCTCTCCTTTCTTCTGACAAACTTGCCGATAAATGTCGCCAGGACAAGGAAAATGCGTGTGGCATACTTTGCGGTGGGCTCTTTGGTGGCGGGCGAAGGGGGAAGAGTGGAGGATGGAGGGCTGTCGGCAATGACATTCCCTCGCATGGTACGCGCTGTAAATTAATAATATCAACTTTGGCAGCAAATGTCAGAAAAGGGCAAGCAAATAGCCTGGCAAGCTTCCACTTTTCCCCTCGTATTCTGACATGTCTGCCTCACTCGCAGTGTGTATGTGTGTGTGTGTGTCAACTTTTGATATCCTACACACTTCAACGTTCGGCTGTCTGCGTGTGTGGGTGTGTTTGTCTGACTGTGTGTGTGTGTGCGCGTGCGTGTGTGTTTGTGCGTGACTTGGTGACTGTTTTTGGTGTTTACAGGCTGCCGAATCAAACTTCAATGTATGTGACATCTGACTTTCGGGTGAGGCAAATGAAAGCCGCCTTTATGTATGCCACGTAAATGGCCCTAAGTGCGTTCGACATTCAAATTAAAGGCAAATCCCACAATAATAACAACCAAAAAATCTACAAACAGCAACAATATTTTCAATACGTTGAGAAATCTTTGTCTGTTGATAGGCCAAGCTCTTGTAAAGCCTATAAGCATGATATGGGTAGACGTACACATTTTTTCCATGCAGCTGATCGAATATATATTAACTTTTAGGTAAACATAATAAACCATATTATTTGCGAGTTCCCATTCAGATTCTCGAAGCGTATCTGTTAGTCGAATACTTTCTGCTGGAAATCATTTATTTGTTACTTTCTTTCTTGAATTTCATCAGACAATTTCGTCATAATTGCATAATTGATGACTAGAGAAATTCAATTGCTTAGTTTACAATTTGTTTATTTTGATTTCATTTTCAGTTACACGCAATTTTCTTTTCATTTCTTTTCATTTCTTTTCAATTCATTTCTATTGCCAGCTGATGGCAAACAAATGTTGACATGAAGCATTTCAATTTACACGAAAGCGTTCCCCAATGTCGAGGGTCGCTTAACCGTGAGGCAATTGTTAAGTGTTTTCATTTGCTTTGCGGCAAATGATTTTCTCATTGCAGCTAACTAGGGGCGAGATTCATGTTGGGGGTTGCGTGTGCCAAAAATTGAAGGTACGAGCAAATTGGAAATTGTAATTAATTGCAAATCGTTTGGGGGTTGCAAGCTCACGAGTAGAATGTGTAATTAAGTGCGCTTCTTCAAATTTATAGAAAATGCTTTGTTACATTTTTTCATTAAGTCATAATTAAGTGCAGCTAGAACTAAAAAAATACTGCATGCACCTTCTCACTTTGCAATAAAGTTTAATAACAATACTTTGCATACAGCTAAAAGACTTGTCTTTGAGCTGAAACATTATTTTGTTGCAGACATAAAGAGAAAGCTTATCGAACACTTTTAGATATTTGAATCTGTAAAAGAATTCTTTGAACTAACTGTTTGGTAGAAAATACCGACTGGGAAGAGTATTTCAATTTATTTTTCACTGCTGCTGTACAGTGTATGGAGACGCCAATAAACATTTCGTCGAAAAAAAAACATATTTATATAGTATAAAACAGTTCTCTGCCAGAGCCCAGAACAAGACAAGCGCAGCAATCAGACTTTTTATCAGAAAACCAAAAGCAAGAGCGGAGAGAAAAGCACAAAAAGAAAAAAAACAAAATGAAAATGATTATAAAAAAGTGCGAGCTGGAAAAAACTCAACAACATGCAACAAAATGTAAAGTCGGGCAACGAGTAGATTGACTGGAATCGCTAGTTGGTCTCCCAAAAAGCGACTCCAGTGCAGCCAATACTCTCCGCTCAGCTGCCCCGCAAGCCCTTCGCCACGCGGCACAAGAGGAAAATAAAAAAAAAAATGGTTGTTGTGTGTAAAGTGTTTCACATCAGGCCACAATGGCGCTAAGCCAATAAATTAAATCAAACAAGCGCGATAACCATTTCACTTTTGCCATGTCTATCCACACACACACACACCCAGTCACACACACACATACACACAGCTACAACATTGTTGGCCACACAACAACAATAAAGTTAAAATGGCGTAAACAGCATAAAAAACTGAAATGCATGAGCTTTTCACAGTAGCTGCCGCAGCGACAAAACAAAAAAGAATCTAGAGAAAAACCCTACCAAAAAAAAGGCGCTTTAAATGCATTTTAATAAAAGGCTGCGCGAAAGAGAGCGCTGCAAAGCGTTAGAGTGTGAGGGGTAGAGGCCGCAAGTTTGAAAAAGTGTGGTTGAAAATTTTTTAAAAGCTTTTCCGACACTTTGCTGCGTATATGTATGTTATAAAATATGCTGTTGCTGTTGTTGTTGTTGTTGTTGCTGCTGTTATGACTCCTCCATCAATATATGCACACATACATATGCATACATATATCTGCTGGTATATGTGAAAATACGGTTAATTTTTGTCAACACACAGCAAGCGCTGCGTAACGACGCCATTTTGTTTTGTTCTCGGACCACAAGAGACGTTGGCAAATTGTTTAAGCTGTTGCCTCGATCAGCGGAAAAAGCCGGTCGCCATTTTGGTTATTTGTTGACAAGTCAATTAAAAGTCTTGAATTTATGTGCTCGCCAAATAGAAGGTATTAACCTAGATTTTAAATATTGAGTAGATATGAGCATGATTTTCTGAAGATTCATCGCTTTTTACGACAATTAGTTCTAGCGACATCTTTGTTAATAATCAACAAGCAATAGTGGTATAAGCCAGGCTTTTTCAATAACCTCCCAGCTCTATTACATTTTTATTTATTATTATGAGAATTACATAGTTTTAATTATGTGGATTAAATAATTAAAAAATTCGACTGAAATCAATATATATCAATTAAGCGCTGGAACTATTGAAAACCTGCTGAAAAGCCAGATGCTATTTGCTGCTGATTTACTTGTATGTATCTTTTGCCCACAGCTTATTTAAGGTTAAATAGTAAACATCTGCTGATTTAATAATTTTGAGCGATTTTCCAATACCCAGCTTGCGTAGACTTATATTTTATTGATATTTAAATTTTACAATTTCAGAACTTACATTATTATTAGTTCGAATACTTGTCAAACGAATATTCTCATATATAATTCTTAGACAGAACCTTTCGATATATTCATGAAGTTGACTATAAATTTGCTGTTGCAAGCGCTCCTTATTGGCCTACTTGCATTGGTAAGCGTAAAGCGAATCGATCACCTGGCCCATATCATAGGGTTATTATATTTCAGAGCCAATTGCCATATGGCAATGCCAAAGCTCTGGTCAGCACCTCAGCGGTGACGGCTATCGCCAACGCCACGGAGAGCATGAAAACCAATTTAACCAATCAAAACGCAACCATTGTTGTGGCCAGGGACACTGATCGGAGCAATGACACCGCCGTAACAACACTGCCAACACAGACCAAGTCTCTGGAGATGTCCCAGTCCCAGTCCACGGGCAGCACTGTGTTAACGAATATTGTGCGCAGAAAGCGTCAAGAGGTCGAGCCGACATTGCCGTTCGATTCTAATACAATGCATCTGCCATGCGATTTAGATCATAACGGCAGAGCCCAGGTGGTCGAGGCCTATCCCAATCATTGCATCTGGGTTTGGAACAATAAATATGTGCATGAGGGATTCTTTCGGGTTTTCAAGATATATCAGTTGGAGTCCTTCTTCTTTGGACAGTATTATGAGCGCTTCAAACGCTTCGAGATCGATCCTCACGATTGGGACTACAGCAACATAGTATTCTAGATACCCCCAAGATAGCAACAATTAAATTAACTGTGAGTTAAGTGGAAATGTATAGAAGTCGTATTGAAAACGAAATCAGAACAATAAAGTGAAAACTGCGTATAAAAAACTGAAATGCATTATCCTTTCACAGTAGCTACCGCAGCGAGATAACAAAACGAATCTAGAGAAAAACCCTCCCAAAAAAAGACGCCTTAAATGCATTTTAATAAATGCTGCGCGAAGGAGAGCGCGGCAAAGCCTTAGAAAGAGAGGGGTAGAGGCCGCAAGTTTGAAAAAGTGTGGTTGACAATTTTTTAATATCGTTTCCGACACTTTGCTGCGTATATGCTATAAAATATGCTGTTGCCTCGATCAGAGGAAAATGCCGGTCGCTATTTTGATTAATTGTTGACAAGTCATTTAAAAGTCTTGAATTTATAAACCTAGATTTAAGGTATTGAGTAGCTATGAGCATGATTATCTGAAGATTCAGCGCTTCTTGCCTTGTGGCGCCTGGTTAATAAAAAATTAATCAACAAGCAAAATTGGTAAAAGCCAGGCTTTTTCGATAGTCTCCCAGTTCTATTATCCGCAGATTTGGCTATCTTATCTAGTTATATTTTTGCCAAGAATTGGTCAGCTATCTTGGCTATAACATGAAAGGCAGTGTGAATACAGAGACCATGCTTAATGAATTGGACATAGTTGTAGTAATAGTATAAGGGATTGATCTAGTTCTTAATTCTCAGCCGGGTGATGAGACGAGCTGCAGATAGGCATCGGCATGTGTGGCGGTTCATTTGGAGCTCTACAGTTTCCAGATTCGGTTACGGTGAAGCTTTGAACCGCGCACGTACTAATCAAAATCGTTATCCGTACGGCTTTATTCTAAACCGTCTGGACCCGCTCCCGGTTTGACCTAGCAGCCATTCCTTAGATCTGGATATCGCATCTCCAGGCACCGAGACTCTAGCACTGATCTCCGTATTGCAGCTTGAACCTTTTGAGAATTACATAATTTAAAACTTCGACTGGAATCGATATTTATCGATTAAACGATGGAACTATTGAAATCCTGCTGAAAGGCCAGATGCTATTTTCTGCTGATATCTGTTTATTTGTGTAGCCGAAAGTATCCTTTTCCCACTGCGGATTGAAGATTAAATAGAAAATCTCTACTGAGTTAACAATTTTGATCGATTTTCCAATACCCAGCTTGCGTAGACTTACGTTTTATTTATATTTATAATACATTTTAAAATTTCAGAACTCACAACATTGTTATTAGGTTGAAAACTTTGAAAAAACACAAAACGAATATTCTTAAATATAATTCTAAGACAGAACCTTTCGATTTTATCATGAAGTTGCCTATAAATTTGCTGTTGCAAACGCTCCTAATTGGCCTAACTGCATTGGTAAGCGTTAAGCGAATCGATCACCTGGCCCATATCATAGGGTTATTATATTTCAGAGCCAATTGCCATATGGCAATGCCAGAGCCCTGGTCAGCACCTCAGCGGTGACGGCTATCGCCAACGCCACGGAGAGCATGAAAACCAATTTAACCAATCAAAACGCAACCATTGTTGTGGCCAGGGACACTGATCGGAGCAATGACACCGCCGTAACAACACTGCCAACACAGACCAAGTCGCTGGAGATGTCCCAGTCCCAGTCCACGGGCAGCACTGTGTTAACGAATATTGTGCGCAGAAAGCGTCAAGAGGTCGAGCCGACATTGCCGTTCGATTTTCATACATTGCATCTGCCATGCGATTTAGATCAAAACGGCAGAGCCCAGGTGATCGATGCCTTTCCCAATCATTGCATCTGGGTTTGGAACAATAAATATGTGCATGAGGGCTTCTTTCGGGTTTTCAAGACATATCAGTTGGAGGCCTTCTTCTTTGGACAGTATTATGAGCGCTTGAAGCGCTTCGAGGTCGATCCGCACAGTTGGGACTACAGTAACACAGGATTCTAGATAGCAACGATCAAATTAACCAACAAAAATAAAACTTCAATATTAGTCATGTTTCAATATAAAAGAGCAAAGATTTTCGTTGCAATGATAAGCCAATGCGAGAGATGACAATGCAGGAGATGACAACTTAATCGAAAACTAAAAACTTAGTTTGAAGTAGGCGAGGCAATGATGACAAATACAGCACAATGGGAAATATATTTATAACCCCCGAGTAGAGCACACTTTTCATTACTCTTCGATTTTTTTTTTTTTTTTTTATTTAACAAAATTGTACCGTGCCAACTAAAATGGATATGACTGCAGATCAGATGAAGGAATTTCAGCGTGCCTTTAAAATGTTGGACCGAGATGGAGAGGGTAATATTCAGGCGAGAGATTTGGGCGCGTTTATGAGAGATTTGGGAAAGATGCCCACAGACAGCGAGTTGCAGTCAATGGTCAACCAGGTGGACACAGATGGCAACGGGACCATAGATTTTGAAGAGTTTGCTAGTGCCATGATGGCAAGAATGAAACAAGTACCAGACGATGATGATCTGCGCGAGGCATTTAATGTCTATGACAAGGAGGGTACCGGTATTGTAGGACCGGATCAGCTGCGTTCCGTAATGATAGCGTTACGTCTGAAGCCCACATTTGAGGAGATTGACGAACTGATACAAGAAGGCGACGAAGATGGCGACGGCTTCCTGAGCTACGAAGAGTTCGTCCGTTTGATGACCCCCCAATAGAAAACAATGAAAGATGAAAGATCAGATCTGAACATAACATACTACCTAAGCCAGAACAATTATTCGTATTAGAGCAGAAGAAGCGTTTCGATAAGTTAAGGATTATAAATTAAATTTGTTGTATGAACATTCAGTGAGTAACGGGACTGAACACAGAATTGTGGGAGTAAAATTTTTTTTAAAAGATGTATCCTACGTCTCGTATAATGAAAGCTGGCTCAACTGATTTAGATACAATGCTACATATATATAAATATAGATATATATATATATATTTCGAGAAATAAAAATTTAGTTGATTTAAAAAATGAAAAAATTGCTTTTTGCTTGAGCTCTTTGATAACTTGCAAATTCAAATGTTGGAAATGTTGCTTTGAGAGCATTGACATCATTAGAGTTATTTGATTTTAGGGAAACAGCCATGCGACTGCGTTCCTTATGAATATTTTCAAATCTCAATTATTTACAAGCTGAGAGAGCCAAGCCATCAAGTATGCAGCAGATTCCCAAAAAGGCAGCTGTCATGACTGGAATAGGCTCTACAATAAAATTACAGCGATGCGCTTTTGAGAGCTCTGACCAACGCATTAGTCATGAGCAGGCCTGCAGTTAGGCCAAGTGCATAATAAACGCATTACTTAAAAGATGGTCAAACAAAAGCATTTCCATATATATATATATATATATTTATGTTGATGTGCTGCACATTGAACGATTTGGCGCCAAAAGTGGGGCGCATAAAAACCAAGCCACTTGCCAAAAAAAAATACGCTGAGGTCACGCTAAAAGCGCTCAAAATTTGTGGCCAAAAGTGGATGGGGAGCAAAAAAGACAATGTATATATAAATAAACAAAAAGTTAGCTACCTCCCTTTGGACGTTATAAAATACGAAACTACTTAGCGGCGTTGATGAATTGTGACATTTTTATGGGTTTGTCTTTGCGCACAGGCAAAAAAAAAGGAGAGCAGGGGAAATACGAAAACAGTCAGCTGAAGCCAAAGGCAAATGGCAAATGCTTTTGGCTTAGCCGCTCGCAGCTCGGCCATAAACAATATGGTCAGCCAGTTGGAGATCCTGGCCAGCAATACATCTCCTATTCTCGCCTGGTCTCGTCTCTAAAAATATTGTGCAAATTATGAAAGTGCCAGCTCGCAGCGGTCGCCATTTCAAAAAAAAAATAAAAAGAGCAAACAAAAAATGCTGGAAAACAAAAATAAAATACTTTTAATGCGCAATTCACGTGTCGCTGTCGCGTTCGACGCTTTCCTAAGCCATAAACATAACTCAGGCGTATTTATAGTTATGCCCGCCCAAGATTTATGTCGCCCGGCCACTGTTTAATTAAAACAATCGCTAAAGTTTTTCATCAGGTATTTGTAAATCGCAAAGTTTAAGCATGGAAATCATTTTCCTTGGCACTCTATAACATTTAATTGCCATTTCTCTAACCGTTGCAGTTGCCTGTTGCCGTTTTCCCAGCCAATTGCCAATTGCCGTTTTAATGAGCCCCTTTCAAATGGGAACGGCTTTGATAAGAAATAACTCACGGTGAAAGCGAGTGTGCGCCCTCAACTCAACACAGCTCAGCTGCGGCTTTAAATGCTTTCGTTTGACACTTTTTGTCATTGCAGCTGGCATAATGGAACTCCTAACGGCAGGGCTAACAAAATATTTCAATTGCCGCGTCTCTAAACAGTTTTTCGCATTTCCGACCCTATAAAAAAGCCGCAGGTAGCATCGTTTAGCTGTGAGAAATCTCCCACTAACACCTGCGATTTCATATCCGTTTCGTCTTCTTTCTCTTCTCATTTTTAGACTTTATCATAAAGATAACAAAAACTTTCTATTCATGCTTTGCTTGTTACCTTAAGTTTATTCTTATACTTATTGTTCCGTAATGTCCAATACAATATATATGTTCGACAATCATTGGAGTTTTTTTTTACATATATTTGTGTCCCATTGCGATTGCTTTTGCTGTAGTTCAGTATCAATGGCAATTGAGCAGAGTTCTCGTGCGTATACGTAATGTTGTATACTTAATATGCAGACATTTTGATGTGCAGCACCCCGCAGAGCACGAGCACAAGCACATTCTCGGCTCTGCGAAATGCTAGCAAGAAGCATGACTGGTGGAGGGGAGTGGCGCCCGAGGGGGGTAAAAGTTTTTGTGACTTGCTGACTGTTCATTAGAGGCCGAAGAGAGCGTGCAAAGATAAACAGCAAACCATTAAACGATATCTCATCAAGAAAATCGCCTTAAATATGTTTCTGCCTAATTTCCCACAATTGTGTGTATAGGTGTTTTTGTGTGTGTCTGTGTTATGTGTGTGTTATGTGTGGGGAACGGTCGTCCAGTCAGTCATCCATCCAACCATGCGGCATATGCATACAAAAGCAATTTAGCCAGGCGACCCGTCTTACCCCACCTCAGCAACAAAGCTCCCGTAGTTCATGAGCAAAAAGTCGCTAGAAAAAGACAAAATATACAACAAAAACAAAAACAAAACAAAAAAAATAAGAAAAGAAATACGAAAAATCTAATAATTTTTTATGTATTTTTCTCTCTGTTCTTGACTCTCTTACAGTTGAATGACCACAAGGCCAAAACGTGGGGCTGCCATGAAACCAGAAGAATGCTGAAAAGGTAGAGAAAAGGCAAAAAACCGAAAAGAGAAATGTCGCAAAAGAAATAAGAAATTAAATGAAGCAACAAACATGTCAGTGTGTGTGTCTGTGTGTGTGACGCACAGCACAACACAAAACGGGAAATTATGTGGCATAACCCATGAAATAGATGCAAACACAAAAAGGATCAGAAGAACTTGGCCAAATGAGATTAACCAGCCAATGCTATGCGGCCAATATAAATCACAAGTGGAGCACAAGTACACAAATCAACAAATAAAGCCATCTAAAAAATACCAAAATAAATACCAAAAATCACATAAATACCTAAAAATAAAGTAGATACTAAATGAAACGAGCAAAGCGCGCCTGATTAGATGTGTATGTATCTGTAGATACTTCTAGTTTCGCTGCGGGTCGCTTTTCCTTATGCCTTGCGCAATTTGACGCCACTTCATTTGGCTTCTTCAGCAACTACTTCGCAGCAGATATTTTAATTTTGCACGCGCCAGCTGTTTAAGCTGATTAATGGCAGCCAGCAGAGAAAGCGGCTGTCAATCAAGGACGTACAGGACTCAGGACGCAGTCTGGAAAATGGGCAAAAGGAGTGAGGGGTCGAGTGAATAGACAGTTAGTTAGTTGGCTGGCAGCTAACTTGACGGCCATTTAAAGCAAATGGCTTTAAGATGAGTAACGAATCCAGCAAAGCAGATAAAATTATAAAAAATATTCCCTGCGAAACAGTTTGACAGACAGGTGTTACGAGCAATAGAAGATACTTAGCATTAAATAGCATGATATTTAGTGACTGTGGGAGAAATTTATAAAGTATAATTTATTCTTTAACTAAAAGAAATATTTTCTTTGAACAAGAACATGAGATTTGCTTCTTTATCTATTTAACTCATGTATAAAAATTTACTCGCTTTATAATATAATTTTAATTAATATTATGATCATATTGAAACTTTCTTGAAGTAAATCCTTTGTCAAATTGATTTCAGACTTATTTAAAATTTAAATTAATTAAATTTTTTAATTTCCTCCCTTTCTAAGCTAAATAATTCAAACCATTGTTTTGTTGTTTTCGGCTGCTTTAACTAGCTTTCAAAATAGAATAATTATAGATAAATCATTTAACACTTTCTCTCTCTATTCAAAAGCCTTCAAATTCTATTGAGATTATCATTTAAGTTATTTTTAGCAGACATTTTATTGCGAGAGCTTACACAGCTGCTTTTGGGTGCTGAGGTAATTTCTAATTGCATAAAATTATAAAAACGTGTCGTTTTTAATTATTTGAATGCCCAAGCAGACGTCAAAATAAAGCATACAATTGGAATTGATATTACAGAAGACCTAAAAAAGGGGGAAATAGGTTTTCAACAAAACGTCAAAAACTAAAAGGAAAACAGAAAACTTTACCCAAAGTCACGAAATGAAAAATAAACGGTGTATATACAATATTTATACCTACAGGGGAAAGTGACGAAGCGCAAGCAGTTGACTTTTGATGGTCACTGTGTGCCAGGAATTGACCGAGTCACATGTATATATATATATACCAAACCGAGTACATGCTACAAGCATATGTATGTATTTGTATTTCTGATTGCATTTGTATTTGGATTTCTGTATATATGCGGTCCACTCAATGTGTCCAGTCACGTTTTCATCAACAACATTTTGGCTAAGTTTTTGGTTAATATTATTTGTTTGTTGTTGCTCTTGTGCGCATTTCTTGCTATTTATTTATTTTGCCCGCTTCGTTCGTTTCGCAAGTGCCAAAAGGCAAATATTGCGCATACGCCGCGTATGTGGCCTTCGTTGAAATCAATAAGCGGCTGCCTCTAAAATATATACAAATCGCCTCAACAATCCAGTTTGTGCTGGACAAACAAACAGCAGCAAGAAATCGCAAAATATTTTCAAGCATACTTTTAGGAAATTGACCTCATCGCCCCCGGTTCTCTATGAAATAAAACCAATAAAACTGCCTTCAATTCTACCCATCAATGATTTTGTTTGTTTGCGTTTGCTTCTGACCCAAAAAACAACCAAAACATAACAAAAATAAAGTTACGTCTTGGGAAAATTCTATTGCTAAATTCTTTAGAAGTTTTCTTCAATATGCCCAAGTTCCACAGCAGCCAATCGAATAGAGTATATAATTCAGTTTTCTCATTGCATTTCATTTAAAATTGTACAAATTATCTACACGGCATGAATTTCTGTAATCAAATCCATCAGATCAGAGAACAGGCAACATTTCAATAAATAATTGAAATCTGAAATTATATTTTAAATCCATTGAAGTCGTATCAATTGCAATTGAAGCACGTGTGAAATTTGATTTTGACAGCTGTTAGGGCAAAACTTGAGAGCTCTTTCTAAAAAGCTTGGTGTGAATGAATATAATCACAAATTCAAACAAAATATAATCATCATGTGGCATGTAGCAGGCAGATTGAAGGCACGTATCGATGTCAATCCAAGGTACTTCTTATTGAATCATACGCATTGATAGGTTGTTGACGAAAAGCGGCTTAAATTACAGCGTCTTAATAGATTGACAAATATATAAATCAAACGAATATAAATGAGCTTACAAATCGATAAGATTGATAAAATTCTAAATCATAATTTGATAATCGAAATACGCTTTCTATAACTCAAAATCAAAGTTATAAATTGTTAATACAACTAATAAATATTGATCACGTGTACATGTATTCAATAATAAAAGAAGTTCGGTATAATCAATATTCGAAAATTGAAAATCGATAACTTAAACAAAGTGAAACATTTTAGATTCAATTTCCATTTAATAAAATATAAAAACTAAAAGTTCTTATGAATTCGGGCCTCGATTCAACGTCTTTTATAATAATCTACGTATTTTGCTCATTTTTTCTTATTTTCCAATTTTGTTTTTTGCAGCACCATTGCATAATGTTCAATCATTGAAATTTAATACCAAAGTTGTTAAACACAAAGGCCAGCAAATCAGAGAAAAGCATTAAGTGTAAAGCAGTGCAAAGGAAATGAAATTGTAAACAAGAAAAGTACGAAAGAAAAACACAAAAAAAAAGCCAAATAAAAAAGAAAATACAAAAAAAAAATCTATCAAACAAACCATAAAAATCAACTAAATGCCAAAGCGACAACAGAACTAAAATCTGACAACGAGAACAACAGAAACTGACAAAACGAACGAACCGAACAGACCAAAAGGACCCCATCCAATACACTCACGCTCCCCAATTGAATGTGTGTGAGTGAGCCAAGGCTAAGACAAAGACAAAGACAAGTGCAAAAAACAACAACAACAAGTAGAACAACAACAACTAGCTTGGCAACATTACGTACGACGAGCTGGCAACATTTACAACACTGGCAACATGCTGCTGAGGCGCTTACAACACAGCGGCAGCGGCAGCGGCAGCAACAGCCCCGCCAGAGCGCCCTCGCCCTCAAGTTCCCAAAAGCTAATCGGATTTACGAGACAACCTACAACAAGAACAACAACAACAACAACAACAACAACGTGGCTTTGGCCGCTGCTCTGCCTGACAGTTGTTGCTCATGTCAGCGCCCAAATAGGTAAGTGCCGCCCCTCCTATATTATCTGGTATAATTGTATCTAGAAAAATTAAAAATATAATATTAATAACAATAATGGGCATAGCTGTCATTTGGGGAGGTTCGGTTAGAAGCTGTGCTTCGCTAGATTACGACGATTCTACACACAGCCGAAACTCATTAAAAAGCGAAATATCATTAGCATAATTATGCACATTTGTAAAAAGGAATCAACCCCATTTTATATATATATATGTATATATCATTTATACACACAAGCACACGCACACATGTACGTTGCATTCAATTGATAAATGCAATTGAATTTGCGGTTTTTGAAAACTATCGAGCAATCAAATTTAATTACGCATTTTACAAATTATCATTATAAACTGAATAGAAATTATTTGAAATGTGCCTAACGCTAGGCCAGTTTTAAGCCTCATTATTACCAATTTTATTGCGTCGAATTTGGGTTTTGGTGGGGAAATAAATATGTATGTGTTTCGAGTGTCTGTAGACCTTATTAGATTCAATCTAAATATTTATAGTGAACAACATGATGCTTGCGTATGGCATGAACAAATAATCAAACAATATTCTAATACTCTTTCAAAGAGCGAAAAGAGTATATTAGTTTTATTTGTTTTAGAGACTTGAAAGCTAGAGGCCTGAACTTCGGGAAATAAATATATGCTTCGAGCATCTGTAGACCCCCAAATAATCAAACAAGATTCTAATACTCTATCACAAAGCAAAACGAGTATATTGGTTTTGTCCTTACTAGAGACTTGAAAGCTAGACCTAGACTCGTGTAGTTTGGGATATATCGGAAGATCGACAAAAAATTCGGAATATCCTAATTAATCTAGCTGTGAAGGATTAAAAGGCGAGTCTGTTTCATCCGACTGCAACGTTGTTTTTTGCTTTCGCTACATATACAGAATATATGATAAACACATCTTTACAGAATACATGAGAGAGATCAAATTTAGCCTTTTTTTTGCATATCGCCAAAAAGATATAGAAAATATTTTGACTTTAACCATGCACGCATTGCCTTCTTTGTGCATTTCAGAGTACAGCCGCGCCCCAAAGTCTTCCTTTCCACTTTGTGCAAGCTGAAAGAAAAAAGTGGGAAGGAAAAACACACAACAAGCTCATCAAGAGCTACAAAAAAAATGTTGTTAGACCAGGGAAAAGGGAAGGAGAAGAAGTAGAAAGGGATATGAAAACGAACGAGACGAACAGGAAGCAAAACATGCAAAAGCTATGCAATTTTTTTGCGCCTCTCTTAAAAGCAACAAATTGTGCAAAATGAGGTGGGACGGTGGGGAGAGTGAATTTAGTTACCGGCAGGCTGCGCCAAAGCTGAGCTCCTACAAATGCTAATGAACAGCATTTGTGGAAAAGAGGCGCACAGCTAAATGAAAATCTACAGCGGTAGACAACACTTTTTTTCTTAGTCCCCTTTTTGCACACTAAATTTAGACGCTGCCTGCGCTAAATTAATAATAATAACTAAAAAAAAAAAAAGATGTTGAGCGCAAGTGCATAATTAATTAATTAATTAGCCGGACGGTGTTACCAGAAATCTGAGCAAACTAAAAGAAAATCTGTTAACAGATGCGCCGCACTTTAAATGCGCTTTGCCATTTGAAGTTTACCCTGTAACTAACAAGCTGAAAGGGTATCTATTTTGACTGAATGTATGTTCAATTAGAAATAGAAGCGTAATATGTGAGCAGCATTTATCTCAGTCACGGGGCAACGCCTCGTCGTGTTTTGTACTTCTGACTGGTTTTTATAGACTTTTGCTACATGCAAAATGGAATGTTTCAATGCGGCTCGTTACGTTTTCATAGCCGCATAAATTTTGGGTGGATTCAGACAAAGACCCCTCATTTGTGTTACCAAAAACAGTCGCTCGAACATTTGTAACTTTGTTGTGCGACTCCCGACGTCGCCCACCCCCCAAATCGACATAATTAAAACAGCGGCAGCAGCTGTAGGACAACAAAACAAAGGCAACAAACTGCACTAACTGCATTTTGTTCATTAGCGATCCACACACACACACGCGCACACTCATAATAGGAGAGTGCATAGCATTCATATTCTATTCGCATATGCAACATGTAAATGCATAATTAATGCAGCTGAGGGTTTGAAGGCTCTGCGCATAAAGTGTTCCTGGATAGGGCAATGAATATGTCAGAGTGCAATAAGCGACAAATGTTGCCATTAAATGCTGCAGAATGGAGCGAATTGAATGGAATATTTTATAGAGATGTGCTTAAATTTCAAGGTTTTTTCATTAAGTCAAATATATGGATTAAATAATATGTTTTGCAACACTTCAACTCAGAACAAAGCTGACAGCTATGAAAGCGGGAAGTCAAGTGCTTGAAATTGTGACATTTTCTAACACTGTCTCAACGTATTCAAAGGTTAATTATATTTTTTTCAATTAAATACTTCGTTGAATAAGAGCCTTACCAAGTTTTGTAACTCTTGACAACTTTTCCAACTTTTAAACTAAAAACTTATAAAAAAACGACAGCTGGAAAAATGTATTTTAACAAGAAAAATTCACACGACAAAATTCAATTGAAGAGAGCTAAGAATATGGCAAAAGAAAATAAGCAAGAAAATCACTGACCCTTGAAAATAAATAATAATTACCAGCAGTGGCTAGGCGGGGGGGTGGGGGGGGGGGGGGTGGGAAGTAACAAAACGAAAAGTGCCTCAAAGAGTTAACAAAAGGGGAGAACAAAAACCAACTGAGAAAAAAAATCACACCAATAATTATAACAAAAAAAAGTTGTTAAGCGTTAATGTGGCGACGGCTGCAGAAGAGATGCGAGACTGAAAGAGAGCGAGAGCGAAAGAGAGAGCATGATGGGGAGCCACGCGAGCTGACGCTGAGCAATGGGCAATGTGGAACAAACTTATTAAAAATATTGAAGAATGAGGCAAGCGAGAGAGCACGTCGGGGCAGAGGGGGTGGAGCGCGGGCGCAATCGAAATGAAATGTGACACGCAAGGCAACAATAAAAACAAACTTCAGGTGCAAAGAGGTGTGCATGAGTGTGTGCATGTGTGTGAGAAAGTGAAGGTGCCGGCTATAAAGTAAGAAGTCGTTTTTTTTTATTATTATTTTTTTCGTTGATTTAATTAAATTAAAATTGCGGCCAGCTCGTAGTTATTTTTGTTGCTGTTGCTCGTTTGTTAACTGTGGCTATCCGCTTCTTGGCTTAAATATGCATTTCCGAGCCGGGTTTGCTTTATTTTTTTTTTTTTTTTTGGTTTGAGCGTGCAAGAAAATGTGCATGGGAAATGCATTTGCGGAATGTTTCCGGCTCTTCCCAGCGACTAGCTATGCAGTTTTCCCAGCTTTGTTCTTTGCCTGCCCCAGACCAGACAATGTCTTGTCTCTACTCTCGGTGGCCACCCACCCACTTGGCGCAATGCTTCGCTGCATGGGAAGCCAAATGACGATCAACAGCAACAACAACAACAACAACAACAACAACGACGACGACGAGAATTTCTCAAAGTTGGCTTATTCGCATGTCTCATGACTCAGAGCAAAGGCACAACTCCGACTGCAGATGCCTTATGCTTTATGACGCAAACTTTTCATTAAACATTTTTATAGCAACAAAACAAAAGAAGAAAAAAAATATAAAATAAAATGCTGAAAAAGTCCTGGAAAAAATTGCGCGAAACATTCAAACGTATTCTAAGCGCATAAACTGGGCATAAAGAAGTTGTTGGCAGCAGGGCGTGGGAACAAAAAGGGGCGCGAATTCTTCACACGTTTAGCATGAAGGAAAATTTTATGTAGAAACTTTTGGTGCCGCTTTTAATGAAAATGTTTTTCACGCACATTTTTCTGTGAATACGCTTTTCTGAAGTATTCTGATTTTGTCATGCATTGCAAGAAAAATTTGAAGTGAATATTTAATCTGGAAATGGCCGCCTAAGAATCAATTATTAAATCGAACTTCGAGCATATCGCATAATATGTCTGCAAGGGTATTTAAGCTTCGGTCATTTTTCATTTTATTTAACTTTTGTTTTTTACACCAACTTTTATGTATGCATTTTTATGATTTTCATTAGAGTTTTTTTTGCATTTGTCGTAGTTTATGCTCCGCACGCGCTATTTAACTTTAGAGTTTCTCGAAATTTATGACATCTGTTCCATGTTTCATGTACGATACGAGCAGATAATGCTTTTATGCTGCGACAATTGTGGTTGTATTTTTCTTTCGTTTTTTAGTCTTTACTCGCTCGATTGGCACTATCAATGGCTAAATAGAAAATAAGCCAGAAAAACGCTTTCAAAATGCTCTATAAATAATCGACTTGCAACATTGTGCGATTGCATTTCGTGTATTTAACAATTTACAAGCAAACAAACATGCAAAAATATTTCTGAAAAATAAATGTTGTTCGGCTAGTATTATATCATTACGCTATTTTTATAGATCCCCCGATAAAAGCGTGACGTGGGGCAGCCGTTGTCAGTTCCTAAAAGCTTTTTGAATTTACTGCAACATTTTAGTTTTATTATTTGCTTATTGCAATTTGCATTTTACAGTTAAAATGTTAAAATTGCATATCTTATGAACATGGATTTTCTCGCATTGTCTGACCTGCAGCTGAATATTTAAATTAGATTACATTTTTGTGTATTTCTCTTTCTTGTTAAAGTGTCAGATCTAATCAATTAGTTGATCGATTTTTAATATATATAAATTATTAAGGAACTTGCTCTGCAAATATTCTTTACTAGAGAAAGCTGGCATTAGATTAGATTACATTTTTGTGTATTTCTCCTTCTTGTTAAAGTGTCAGATCTAATCAATTAGTTGATCGATTTTTAAAATATATAAATTATTGAAGAACTTGCTCTGCAAATATTCTTTACTAGAGAAAGCTGGCATTAAATAAGATTACATTTTTGTCTATTTCTCCTTCTTGTTAAAGTGTCAGATCTAATCAATTAGGTAATCGATTTTTTTTAAATATATAAATTATTTAAAGAACTTGCACTGCAAATATACTTTACTAGAGAAAACTGGCATTATTTAAATTAATTCCACAATTTTGCCGCTCTCTAATCACACCACCCTGATTTTAAGGCAGTATAGATATGAAAAATATCTACTGGCACACACTTTCGACATCAATACCGATATTGACTAAAGAGTGTTGGAAAATACACTGGGAAATACAATTTTTTGCCATTGTCTTTAATATTAAATACCAAATTCTTTACAATTAAATTATATCGCCAATTTCGGCGCAATCTCTATTACCCCACACTCATGTAAACGAAGTAGAAGTGGGAAGTAGGAAAATAGACACAGGCACACACTAATAAATAATTAGATATTTATTAAAAACGGTTGGAAAATGCGCTGAGAAATTAATATTTTCGCGATTCTCTTTAATATTTAATACCAAATTCCTTAAATTTAAATTATAATATATTCCCAATTTTGCCGCATTCTTAAATCACCCCACGCACATCTTTCATGACAATGGAATATGGGTAGGAGGAATATCTAAAAAAATACACACTGACACACGCTGGCAGCTTCACATGTTTGGCTAACTAATTTCGAACACCTGTTTCTCATCCAATTTCGCAGACGCTTAAAATCGGAATCCGAATCAGAGTCAGCCGGGCGTCACGATTGCAAAACGTACCAAAATATTTGCGAAACACACACAACACACAATTCGCGACATATCGTCAGAAGTATCTATAAAATTGAGCGTGGGGTGAATGAAGATTGGTTGGGCTACTGGGCGTAGGAGCCGCAAGAGGAGTGAGTGCTTTGCATGTGTTGCCGATAATGTTTATGCTGTCAGTTACTGCTGCACATGACATTCAATTGCCACAAATCAAGATAGGGACAACTAGCAGGAGAAGTAGCTGTCAGGATCTGTAAAAAAAAGGAGAAGCAAAAAGCAGGCAAATGGAGCAAGAGCCGCAGTTTGTCTCCAGAGTCTGTGTACGAGGTATATTATAAAATGACTGCCAAGACGGAAGCACACATGTCTCTCCATACATATATGTATATATTGTTTTTTTTTTTTATACATTTCGCTAAGGGAACACGTGCCAATTGTTGGGTGTGCGTGTGTGTGTGTGTGTGTGTCGTACACACATTGTATCTCAGGAGGGGTAAGAAGAGCTGTCGCACTGTCTCTTTGTTCCCTTTTACAAATCACATGCTCAGTTTATGCCACGCACACACGCAAATATATGACTCTGTGTGTGTGGGAGTGTGTGTGTCAGATGTGTGACAACATCACATGCAGCATTGTTGTTGCTGTTGTTGTTGGCGTGTTGTTATCATAAAATAAAAATTTACTTCTGTGCGTACGTGTGAAGGAGTGTAGGAAACAGGGACGAGCTGAACACGCATTTGTGCTTCTTGACTTTTAAAATGGTTTTTTAAATTTGCTCTGGATTTAAATATGGCAGTGAGCAGTGAGTTGTTAAAAGCAGCTCAAGTCGTATACATGATGTAATTTGTCTGATGAAGCAGTTAACAGAAGATACAATTATGTAATGCTTCAGTTTGAATCTTTTCTGTATGGCATGCTCTAGGAAACTCCTTAGTCTGATTTGCCAAAAATTGTTGTTAGGCAATTCATTATAATCGACACACAATATTTCCTAATTATTGATATTGTGATTAAAGGGCTTTATTTTGGTACTAACATATTTTTCACATTTTAACAAAACTTCGATTTGAGCTTAACTATTCTTAAATGAGATTTTTCTTGATGGAATTCTGCTTGTATTTAATGAGCATAATAAAACTGAAAATGAGTTCTGTTAAGATATAGAGTACAGCACAAAATAGGTCCAATTCGACAGTGTATATTTTCTCACGTATGCCTATTGAAGGTTTCTGATATAGTTATTCGATGTTATTCAACTTTTATTAAAGTATTTAAGGTATTGCAAGGCTCGTAATTGATAAATATGCTCAAAATATGTTCAGACAAGAATTAAGTTTATAGCCGACTGCTGCTACTTGAGCTATATAATGTAATAGTTCAAAATTGATATAAATTGGGAGCCTAATGCTTTTAAGTTCTTATACTACATTTGGATAAAATATTTCTAAGACTGAAGAGTTTAATAAATAAGCTTCACTTGCAATGGAAAGTGCTTAGAAAGTCTTTAGTGCTGTCATACAGTTTGATATCAATATATTCTGCAGGTGGACTATATCGATTGAGCAGTTAGTACTGATCAACAATAGATTGTTATATGTTAAGATCGTAATAAGGACTTAAGTATTGGATTCAAGCGCATTGTAAAGAGAACATCGATGTTCTGAGCTTCGAAGCAAAACTTACTTACGGAGTGAATAGACTGGTCGACTGTTGAAATAAGGATAGAGAAAAATAAGAAAATACTGAGGGCTTTACATATACAAGCTTAAAGTAAGCCAGGTCTTCCTTTATGCATTACACACTTCGTGACAACGTTCCAATCAAGGAATTGGTTTAATCGATGAGCTTAGTGCATGCCAACAATGAAATCTTATAAATTAATTTGCTCTGGCAACACTTTATCGATAGTTCTAAGCTACTTAGCTACTTAAGCAATTGTTTATAAACGTTAACATGATGTTTACCTTTTATAGACTGCTCAAATCAACAATGCACTTTGAGACAAGACCCTCGACAAAGCGACAGCTTTTACTGCCCGAATGCAGCAGTGGGGGTTTGAGGTTGGGCGGCATTTCGAGACAAATACCGAAACGCAAATCAATTAAGGCGCTAATTGAATTGTTGCTGCTGCTGGTGACTGGCAACCGATGATGATTAGGGCCAAAACTAAATTGAATTGACCAAAGTCAAAGCACAGTGTAAGCGTGGGGAGAGATCCAGCTGTAGATTAGCAGGCAGCTCACAGCAAATGTTGGCGGACTGGGTGACAGCCAAGCCGCAATTAAATTTCCCAGTTCAAAATAAAATTAACGACCATTAAAAGAGAACTTGACTGAGCCAGATGAGACTTGGGACCGCAGCAATTTACGAGCGGGTCACTCGGTCAACAGTTGTGTGTTTGTGTGTGTGTGTCTGTGTGT